CCATTTTCGCGTGACCAACCATAACACTGCGGTATATACTGCATTTCTATTTAACCTCCCCTCTTGCCGTGAAACCTATCAACTTGAGCACGTCGCCTTAAAACTTGCATGTCCTTTTTCCGAACTCAGCATTGTAGCATATTTTCTAAACTCCCGTACTGCGTNGTTATCCAAAAAAAAAATTTGCACACCTGACCGCTTCAGTCTTGGACTGCCGGTGATGTGCAGCACTGACTAAAGCCCACCGTCTTCAAGCGCTAGGCTAACGCTTGTAAACCCTAGACGGGTTGTGTAGTTGACTTAAAACGTTATCTTCACGTGTACTGTTTGCTCCTTTTAGCTTCAGCCAGATAACCCATGCACGTCACGAAGCTCGATAGAAGACATACCTAACCCGACTGATCGTTTTAGGTTACGCTGCATGCCTGTTGAACGCTGTGGGGAGCGATTCAAGAGCAACGAGACAAGCGAACCACAATTTGCATGTTCTAATGCACCGACGAAGACCATTGGAAGACAATCGTAAAAGAGCAATCCGTAGGTCGTACACACCTTGAACAGCTTTACCGTTATCTTGAATCAGGATCAGTTTGAAAAACTACCGTTCGACTTATCAATCTCAATAATTTAGCTGGCGCGGTAAACGAAGATGACTGCAGAATTCCACTCACAGAAGATGAAAAACTACTTCTGGTGCTGACAGACTCCACTTCGCTAAATGATTCATCACAATACAGGCGACATTAAGTACCTGAAGTTTTCTCAGTTCAGCACAAAATTTGCAGGTTATCAAACGCCAAGCTAGATAAATCGATACCATGTGGGTCACCATAATTTGAATACAAGTCAATGATGGGAAACACCCAAATGCAACCTATCTAAGCAGATTCATGAATAAGATGGTACCGATTACTTCTTTAGAGTGATCACTCATTTCTAGTTTTGCGACCACTGTGTGGTATGCTTATCTGCGAGTTTGGAACGTATAGGAGCGTAAAACAATTCATGACATCCAGCTGGGGTTAGCAAGCACCGGAGTTCAAAACACCCACTACACTGAAGACAACTATCAAACCGACAAGACCACTAATCTAATTCTATTTAAACAAGCCACGATCGTTTGGTATACCACATTTTTCACACCGCAAATTGTGGTAGGTCTTTATCGAAGCACTCCGCCTGCATTGATTTGCGCAGTAAGGGAACGAATTCCATTGGTAACAGTTGCAACCTTCTTTGACTAATTAAGAATAAGGGCTCAAGGACAGTAAGCGTGGGGTAATTAAGGACTCCGGCGACACGCCGAATCGTATCTAGCAACGCCATCTTGAGAGACTTTGAGGGTTAAGTTAGATGGACACTGTCTCCAAACTTCTCTCTGATATTAAATTCCGTCGATTGTCTGCTGCACGTGAACGGTGCATGCGTGAGCACTAGGCTGGCTTTAGACCTGGTCTAGGTGTCCAACACATTTTCACTCTTCGCCAAATCGTGTAACAAGGACACCTTTCGTAGACTTCCCACTTCCATCTTCCTCAATCGGAAAGCTGCCTTCGACTCAATCTACCGTCTTATAACCTTGCACTGTCTCTCTTTAAAGGGTCTGAGGGAGGAGTCTATTTGGATATTACGATCTCTGGATACCAACAACCAGAGCGGAGTTCAGGCTTACGGTTTTTCCCTCAGCAGAGTTCACTATGTAAAGATCTGTATCTCCTTTTTTTTATTTCACTTCGTTATGGACTTGATTCTGAAAACAGTCCTGACCTCATCTGAGGACAGCAGCATTAATTTGCTCCGAGGTGGCGGGTTGACCTAACTGTTGCAAGCTTTTTTGGATNTGGTAGTATAGCCATGTTCGGCATGCGTTTTCCCCTTCAAATTGTGAAATATTGTTATGGGGTTTGAATTGGTCCAGCTCCCACTGGTGAACTAATGGGAAAATTGGATAAATTTTGTGGCTTTAACCCACCTGGGGGACGCATCCCGGATGAAGTGTAAGCACGCATACAGAAAGATTGATTGGCACTTGACAATTTAAGACATATCTGGGGCCGCTGTCCGGCTGCCTGTGAAGGATGAAAGTGTGCGATGCTGCAATACGGTGTTAAGACTTAGCGGTTACGAAAACAAGATAGAAATGGACTGTCGGTGTTCAAACACCGCCATCTATGCGTTATTGAACGAGTCTGGTGGATCGACCAGACAAGCGCAGAGCAATAGGTAGTTTCGGTCGTCCGACACAGTAATTGCAGTACAAATTATGTTTGTTGGAGCATTGTTGCGCATGTCGCCGAATAGATTACCTCGCTCAGCGATGGTTTTCAATGCAGGTAAGGGGTGGAAAGAGGCAAGTGTGGTCAAACTAAGACCTGACATGAGGGTATAAACAGTGACCATGCGAATGAATCATATGGCTTTCATCAGGCATCCTGACTGTGGACCTCGGGTTCAGCGTAACCGATGGTCAGAGACACTGGGTGACATGACTGAGAGCTGTAAACAACGGCGATCGTGCATCTTCTCAAGATACTCGCAACATTAGTCTACCAACACTTTCTATTTCCATTTTACCAATATTCACTCTACCCATTCATCTTAAAGGGATGGCCAGAAGACAGTTGCCAAATCCACCGCACGATTAACGGTTGTTCAAAATGTAACTGATTTAAGTATAAAACGAGTTTAGTCGTCCGGTTTAGATTTTGGCATCAGATTATTGACTAACCTGTTTTACTGAGTATCAGCACTAACACAAAACAGCCACATTTTTCATCCGATATCAAAGAAAATTACTTACAAAAATATCCTTCTGTCTCAAAGAGCGGCGCGTAATAGCTAAACGGATATTTGCTATCTTCACCAATTTGGTGAAGCCAAGGAAAAAACTAGGGTCGTGTGAAACAAATACATTTAGATAAACGATGCAAAATTTGTGAATGAATACTACTGATCAGCTGATAATAAAACAGAGAAAAACAAGACAACAGGTTTTGGACAAACACGTGAATGGACCATAAATTATAACAATGAGAGAAGTATAAAACTATAGTGCAATGCAAGATATACAAAGCAAAATTCAAAACGACTGAGGGCAGATATTACTAATTCGAAAAGGCAAGCTTCTTGAGAACATTTGAAACAGAAAAAATGAGGTCTATTGAAACTAGATGCATTCGGTATATGATAGACTGAGAGTCAAATAGAGATCATTATGCCACCGGTATCGGTTCGCCGGGGTTGACTGGTTCGGTTGCGGCTTTTGGTTTATCTACAACCTCGGCAACTTCCGGTTTCTCCACACTATCTCCGTTCACTGAAGGTCCATTAGTGACTTTTTGTGTCGATATTTTGCTAGCCAGTTCTGCAATGATGTCGCGGAAACGAGAACAATGTTGCTCAGGAATAGTGACGGATGATCGCAAGTTTGCACGAACTTCAGAAATGCGCAGATAGACTCCGTAGCGATTGGATCCAACATCGAAATAAAACGTTTTATTGCCAACGAACAAAACTTTGGATTCCGGCAGGTCTGAAAAGATGTCTGCGAATGGCGCAAAAAACTGATTAGGAGTATAAGAGCTAATAATACCAATGGGATATTTTTCATATTTGTTTGTGAACCAAATAAGAAACAGAAAATGAGGATAAGTCATATAAACAGTGCTTATTCGAAGTTACGGCATGCTGTCCCGTAAATTCTGAGTTACTAAATGGGAAAACATTCATCAACGCATTACTACCGACAGTGTCACAGATCTGTTATCTCTTGTGAAGACAAAGGGTCTATGCTGAAACACTCGCACCCGATAGCAGCGAAAACAATCCGTATTCACTGACGATAAGTGCGGGCTACAATGAATAACGCTTGAATCGTGTGAAAGAAGTGGAACACTGAGCTAAATGAGACCGTTCTTGTATATTTACTAAGTCAAATCAAACCAATTTGACCAGAGATCGGAAACCTTGCACTCAGTGAAAGCGTTGGGTAGTGAATATTAGCAAATAAATAGGCGCATGATAGGTGACAGGCAAAACACTGGAGGGGGAGAAGAAACCAGTTTGATAGCAACTTATATTAGCCATAATTTCAAGCTTTATTCACGTTTTGGAGGAAACGTGTGAATACGGCTTGTAGAGAAGATGAGATAATACCGTTTCACAAAGGCTGGGCACTAATTGCAACTTTCAATCACTCTCAATCAAAATAGATTACTTGGTGCCATTGATTGCATGAGGAAATATGTGTTAATAGAAGACAATGATCTAAAGGTACTGAAAATATTGTCTTCGGAATGCTCCAATGATTATGTCCTACATATCACTGGTAAGGGTTCGGACTATGCCAAAGATAATGAAGCAAGACAGGATGGTAAAGAGTCAACATGAACATACCGTTCTCCGCATCCCCGGCAAACTCTTGCGTTAGGTCCGTCAATGCATTGCGCAGCTCAATCATACCCTGAGCAGGAATAGAAATATGGTCGCGCACACCCATGGAAAGCATTGCTAATCGGAGGAAACGACCGCGCTCATTTTCCTTGAGATCCAGATAGTAGCGCCGGCTGTCGCGCACGATTGTATCAGAAGCCAGTCGGCCATCTTGAGCCAAAGACTGGGGGTTGTGAGGAGGTAGTTGGCTATAGGTGTCGCTCAGCTTGCTG